AGGAATAGAAAGCTCTCAAGGTTTTAGAGTGTTATTTTTACTAGAAGCACAGGAAGCCCAAGCCAGAACTTTGATTAGAATARGTGATTGTACATAAAATGAAAGCTTATAAAACAGACTACTGTACATTTCTCAAAAAAWTGTTTCGTATGGCCCAAGAGGATAACACCTATACTTACCAGCTGAGTTAAGAAGATACAATTTTGACGAGAAATATGCATCATTAATATATAGGGGTTTGTCTAAAATTTATTTCATTATATGTTGCTCTGGCTAATCTGCATGTCATTGAGCACTTTATTTATTTCTTTTTGATAAAAAATTAAAACTATAATAATTATCAATATGTGTGAAGATATTTAGATTATATTTGAAGATAATATTTGTGGAGATTTTTCGTGTCCGGCCAAAACGAARGGAAAAGGATCTGAGAAAATGCATGATAAGTTGGGTGATAAGGGGGCGTTCATATCGTTGAAATGGCTATACAGTGTAATTGACTGCTACAGGCTTCTGAAAGTATCCCAATTTAGCAAATTGTGCACAGTTTTGAGTCGTACGTCCTCTTATTGACACACTTATTCAAAACTCAAGTGGAACCACAAGCCCAGCTAGAACCTGCAACAACAAAAAAAAACCTGTGCAATTTGTGTAAACATGCATCGAATGGATATTCTAGTTTTTTTGTCCGACAAAGTTTTTATTCGGTGTAAACAACCTGCGTGTCATACATAATGAGAATATTTCTACACATGAACGTCAAATTGTCGTTTATCATGGTGAGATGAAAATGTAGGTTCCCAGTTTGGTGCGCTGGGGTACACCGAAAAAACGGACAGGTCCTTTTTCAGACTAGCAGTTCCAAGACAATTGTACCCGTTGATACTTTTGCGTCAGGAAGGACTCCATCCCAACGAGCCGATTGGAATGCTAAAAGAAGTGCCCTACGAGTCTGTGGCCTATGTTCATTTAACATTTTAAACAGCATGGTAAGGTATGAATGTAAAAATATAAATATTTATAAATATAGACCATTCCTACATGGAGATGACCTGACTCGTTTTTGACATTGATAAGCAACTGACTTTCAAATCTGTCTGCTTGGCTATAGAGACTGAAAAGCAAGATCGTACTATGGACAATGCATCCGGAATAGTCTACTTATTGGCTAGCGATCCTGAAAATGAGAACTGTACGCTGTACAAGGGGGCCTAGATTAGTCCCCTATGCCTAGCAAGTGCAAATCAAGATTTGAACGTTTTACAAAGGGTCCGAAAATAATCCCCTTTGCCTAGAACACGAAAATGAGAATTGAATGTTGGACAAGGTGCACATGCACGTCAAATGTCGTTTATCATGGTGAGATGAAAAGGTAGGGCTCCAGATTGGTGCTCTTGGGTACATCGATAGTTCGGACAGCTAGTTCCTTATTCAGATTAGCAGTTCGAAGACAATTTTACCCGTTGATATTTTTGGGACAGTTTTCTAATTTTCACTAGCTAGGCAAATGGTACTATCGGTTACGACCCCTTGGCAAATGTACAATTGTGGTTTTTCATTTTTCTTGGCTATTCTTGGACCTCTTGCCCAAACGTAACATCTTCATTTTCACTCGCCAACAAGAGGAGACTATTCCTGGATGCATTGTCCAACTAACAACTGGTAAAGTGAGGGACTGCTGGTCCTTGTTGAAGTGGCAGTATGTTCCATACGGATGTTGCTCTTCAATAGAAGATATTTTGAAAGGTTACATTTTTTTTATACATTCAAGTAATACTTGATCTTTAGC